GATGATGGTGATGGTGATGATGGTGATGAGTATGATGCTGATGATGCTGATGATGCTGATGATGCTGATGCTGATGATGAGGAGGAGGAGGAGGAGGAGGAGGAGGAAGAAAGGAGTAGGAGGAAGGAGGAGCAGGAGGAGGAGGGCAAGCAAAAGGGCCAGAGGTCTCTTGGATTGCTCTCGGAGCTTCTCTTGGGATATCGCCTGGGCGCTTCTTGGTGGCCTCTTGAGACGTCTTGGGGGTCTCTTGTCGGTCCTGGGGGGCTCTTGGGCGTCTTGGGTGCCTCGATTGGCCCTTGGAGCGTCTGGGGGGCATATTGGGTGCCTCGGGGATCATCTTGAAGCCTTTTGGGGGCCTCTTGGGGGTCTCTTGGGAGCCTCTTGGAGGCCTCTTAGGCCCTCTTGGGGCGCCTCTTGGGGCCCTCTTGGGGCGCTGTTGGGAGCTGTAGGGGCGCACGAGGGACTATTTAGGAGGAGATCGATCAAAGAAGAGCGGAGCGTTTTTCAGCCTCCATCCCCCAGGGACCCAAATGGGGCCAAAACCGAATTAAAACCGATGGGTTTGGCTTCCTCGCCGAGGCCGTTTTGGACGCTCCAACGCTTCGCGGCCCCCCCCCCTGTGCATGTCCAGGGGAGGGGGTAGGGGGAGCGGTCAAGATTCCCTCCCCGCCCGCGAGCCGTCTCGCTCACTCCCACCCGCCCTCCCAACACATACGTAGCACCCGGGTCTGGCCCGAGCATCAGCATATTCAGCAGTCGTCTTTTGGATTGGCAGCTACTGGGGGCCAATCCGCCGCCGCCGCCGCCGTCGCCGCTGCCCGCCGCCGCCGCAGCCGCGCCGTCGCCGCCGCCGTCGCCGCCGCCGCCGCCGCGCCGCCCGCCGCTGTCGCCGCCGCCGCCGCCGCCCCGCTGCCAAATCGCCGCCGACGCAGCCGCTGCAGCCGCAGCCGCTGCCGCCACCGCCGCCGCCGCCACCGCCGCCGCCGCCGCCAGTGCCCCCGCCGCCGTCCCGCCGCAGACGCCGCAGCCGCCGCCGCCGCCGCCGCAGCCGGCGCAGCCGCCGCCGCCGCCGCCAAGTGTATTCTGTATTGTTTTTGTTTGATTGTTTGAAAGGGAGGGTGGGGGGGAGGCCGCATCGGATTGGCTGCGCATGCTCCGAATTTGGAGGCAAAGTGTTTTTTGCATGGTGTTTTACAAGGGATGGTGGGGGGTGCCCGCATGGTTCTGGGTTGGCTACCAGTCGCTTGGGGGAGGGGGTGTTTATGGATAGGGAACAGTGATAAACCCCTCCCCGAAGGGGAAGAAAAAGGGGTTGGAAGAGGAAGCTCCCTAGACCACCTACGCCCAGAGGGTTGGTGGGACTACAGTGGAGACCCATGCTTAGGGACACCCTGCTTGCCTCCAGGGTGCCCCAGGTTTCTTGGGTTCCGATGGTTTCGCTGCGGACAACGTGACGTTCCCACACCAAAAATCCATGGACGTCCTGGGGTCTCAGGGTTGGGTTTCTTGTGGGAGGTTTCTTGTGGACTGGCCTCCACTGGATTGGCGCCGTGTCTGCACGACAGATTGGCAGAAGCAGTGCCTCTGGCTGGAGGGGCGTGCCCACCGTGGCATCAAGCAAAGACACTTCGGACTCGGATGCCCCACCGTATGGCGGCAGGACGCAGCATAGCCTTCAATGAAGCAGCAGGATGAATCGTCTAGACCTGCAGAAGCTGCGAAACCCTCCAGGAAGGGTGCATGCATGTTTCCCTCCCCCTTTCTCCTCATCCTCCGATGCATCCCAGCGTGCCCCATAACAGGAAGAAAGTGCAGCAGCCTGAACAGATCACGACCAGAGCCGTCCACCTCATCTTCTCGCGGCATCGCTTGAGCCGGATCGATATCCGAGCCCGAAACCAGGCGAGAGCGCGTGGTGCGAACAAAGTTGCGACGCCTATGTTGATCTCCTGGGGGCCTTGTCTGTCTCATCGTACCATGTGTTGGTTTCGAATCCATGTCGCACTGTCGGATACGCGTCCAATCCACGTCGAATCCCCGTCAAATCCACGCCGAGTCCACCCCGAATCCTCGTCGAGCTCGCCTCGAGTACAAGAGAAGGGTCGCAACGTTCGGAACAGACTAGGCCTCTCGAGGATGCAACGTTGGACGCCCAGATATCAGGGCCGCCCTCGCTCCCCCCCTCCCCGAGTGGCCATGGACACCGCGGAACCGGACAGCGGCCTCGGCCACGCCCTCGTTGCGGGCTACACCAACGGCACGATCGAGAACGCCCTCTCGGCGCGCCCCCTCGTCGTCCCCGGCCCCTGTCGTCGTCGTCATCGTCCTCTTTCTCCTCCTCCTCCTCCTCCTCCTCCTCCTCCTTCCTCCCATCCCTCGCGTCCCCCTATTCTCCCTCCCCTTCTCCCTCCCTCCACGGTTGGCGTTGCAGAGTTAGCGTGCGATGTGGTGCCGCCGGCTTGCCTGCCACATGGTATCCCCCACCTTTGGGACAGCGATGGGATCGCACAGAGGGATAGAAGGAGCCCTCGCGGGGGGGTCGCCTCACAGGGATAGCGTGCTTATCGGAGATTGATGTTGCACGCTATCTTTCCAATGCCAAGCTTACTCCCTTTCTCCTCATTCTGCCTCTTCTCCTCCCTACTCCTTTTCCCCTATCTCTCCTCATCCCCTCCTCCGCCTCTCCCAGGCGGGAAGCGTGCGTGAGCTTCTCGCAGGACTCCCGGAGGCTTTAGGATGCCTTCGGGATCCTCGGAGGCTTCCCAGAGCATGCTCGGGGTTCTCGGAGCCTGCTCGGAGGCTCCCAGGGCTTCTCGGATGTCCGCGGATGTCCCGGCGGTTGTCGTGCGTAGAGTTTCCGAGGTTTCTGGAGCCGCAGGAGGAAAAGAGGAGGGGAGGAGCTGGAAGGGGGTTGGGGGTAGGGAAGAAGGATATGTGGGAGGAGTGGGTTGGTGAATAGAAACGGGTATTGACGGATGAATCCCCCAAGGAGGGGGTCGATGCTGCACGCAGTTGTGACCAAACCAACGCGGATTTGGCGATCCAGGTTTGATTATGATTGCCCCGTTGGTCGAGAACACGCCCCAACCATATTTTACATCGTCCTTTCCTCTGGCGTGGCTGGGGCTCCCTCTCTCCTCGAGCCCGCGTCAGGGGCCAGAGGACGCCTCCTCGTCAGCACCTCCTTGCATTCCCGTCCTCTTCCATCCTGCGCCCCCCTCTCCTGATCCATCTTCCGTAGACGCGCTAACGTCGATGTACGTAACGGCGATGTAGGTTTCGGTATTGTGGGCACTCGTCGCTCGTGCTTTCCTATAAATCGCTGTGTCGTGTTCGCTCGATACGTTTGCATCTAGGAGATGTAGGAAAGTGTGATTCGTGATTTCCGACAACTGAAGTCCCAACACCACCGTTAAGCAACATCGCCGTCGGCGCGGCCTTGGATCCTTTCCCACCCCGCTCATGTCGATGCCGGGCCTCATCATCCCGCCTCCTCCAAGCATCAACAGAAAAAGAACCCCTGATCCTCTCGAGCATCCATGAATGACGGCATCCGGACGTGTTGATGAATGAATAAGTATTCGACGAGGTTCCGTGTGTGCTTCAGTTACCCTTCCCTACCAGCACCTAGCCTGCCCACTTGTCTGCCCGCCTTCTCGCACACTTTTGCTTCGGCGGCTGGGCAGAGGGTCTGCTCCGGCGATGTGGCACCCCGCTTCGCACACAAAAATCACAGCATTTTCGAGGTACGAAGGATACCAATGGAGATTGGCCGAAGGGTACCTCAACAACCCACAGCACTGCGAGCAAGTTGTCGGGATGAGCTGAAAGGATTTCGTCGACGCGAAGACGTCTTTTTTCGAGCAGCATATTCCTGTGCGCTGGCGGCGGTTGATCCGGTATGACGACTCGCACTTGCAGTACGCTTACCACAACTACAAATGCCACGGACAGAAAGCATTGCAATGCACGAGGCCCCATGCACATGACCGTGAAGTAGTTTCTGATTACAACAGCCCGCATAAAAGGATGCTCAATATTATATCGCGTGCGCCCTTCGCATCAGCAAGATCAGTTCCGGGGAGGCTGCGTTGACAACTCGGCGGCAAGTGGACGTAAAGTCTATTATTCTAGAGCGCTGCAGAAGGTTGACACGGCTTCCAGAGTACGAGCGCACATGCCCACGTGGAAAACGTAAGACATCAGCGCTCCAAATGCTCAAAATTGATATTTCGCAATTCTTCAAGGCAGCCTCGTTTGATCGAGGCGTTGCACGCGTGAGAGAGCTGCTCGACATAATGTAACAGAAATGTGGGAACAAAACACTGTAATAGTATGTAGGAGGTCCGCACGGACACGTGGCCGACTCACAATCGTAGCATCAAGAAACAGGTGAACACAACAAATCGCACATACCATGTAGTCACGTTCGATGATATTCGGTGTGTTCTGGATTTTTGCCGTCACGATGACAAGTTCTGCGTGGGGGATCTCATCATTCGCCGGCTTGGGGGGTGGCCGATGGGAGTTGCAGTCAGCGGGCCATGCACGATGATCGATCTCAATCACTCTGTCTGGGAATGCCATAGAAGTTTGGATATGTTACGACGCGCTGGATGGAGCGTGCCTGGACATTTTATGAATATGTATCAGGTCGTGGCCAGCGTCTTACATGTAGACGACCTCGCGACATTTAGCTTCATATACTGTCCCGACTGTCTGGCGCAGCGCGTGGTCAACATGTTCCCCAACGACGTCGGGTTTGGCGAAGAAGAGCGTTGTCTTACAATGCGTGTTTTGCAGGGCATCGTCCACGTTACCTACGCCTCTGACGTGATCATCGTACCTGTACAACCAAACATATGGTTCGGCCTTGGTCTGTCTGGCAAGCAACGGATCGTGAGACTGGGGCCCTTCATCGACAAAACACTCCAACCGTATCACGTGCTGCGCAATTCCATGCTGTGCCAGATTTTGGTGTATGACCAAATCGTGCAAGGGGCCCCACAGCACACATTCCGTGTTTTTAATTCTTTCATTTGTGAAGTTCGAAATCTTGGGTGGCCAGGCGTTTGGATAAGAATGGTATTGAACAGCATCCCAAACAGATTCCAATCACCATTTGTGCGCGCAGTGTGGTATTATGCTACAGTATTGCGTCTGTGTCTACATGAACACATGCATGCCACAGCCATTTTCGCCTTCATGTGCCCGGAGGATCCGCACGGTGACCCGCTCGTGTGCGCCATGGGGAGGACCAAGGACAGCCAGGGAGGAAAGTGGTGGCCAAAAAGCCAGCACCATCAACGGCATCAGCATCACGGCCTGGGGAGCAACGGGAGCCAGCCAAACTGGCAGATAGTGGCATTAAAGCGTTTGGAAGGAGAAAACCAAGCCGTCCCAGCCGAGAAGGAGGCCCACGAGGCCGATGCAGCGGCGGGAGGAGGTTGCGGCGATCTTCGGGATCCCAAGCCCACGCCGCCAGCGGCAACGAGCATACCTTTGTCATCGGCCTCCGTATCCGGGTCCGTTTTGCTATTTTTCTCATCTCTCGGTCGCATGCCGTATGGAGGAGTTGCCGGGAATGAAGGGAACGGCAACCATAATAAGAAGACAAAGAAGAAGAGCAGGAAGCGGCGTCGTTCCAACTCCTCCACATCAAGCTCCTCATCTGGATCTTCGTGTCGCTCGAGGACTCCTGGCCCATCGGCTTTGGCATCGCTGCTGGCGCACTTCCAAGGCAACGCAAACACGAAGAGCAAGAAGGACAATAAGGACAAAAAAAGCAAGGATAAAGACAAGCGGAGCAAGAGTAGGGATAGGAAGGGCAAGGAACAGAGGAAGGACCTCCGGCAGCGGGACCGCGAACCCAAGCCCTGGCGTACCCTGCCGAAGCCAGATCCGAGTCCAGGAACAGGGGAGGCAGAAATTATCCGCATGCAGAAGGTTGTGGAGGCGTTGGAGATCACAGATTTTCAGGCGGCGTGGTAGCGTGATTTCGGCACCTTCACTGACACATTATGCAACAAGACGGACGGCCCGCGGTTGGACAGCTTCGTTAAAGAAAGAGCCTCCCGGGCACAACGGCTGGGAACACGAAGCCGAAAATGGCCGATGAGTTTTTACGACTTCTTCAGCGGCACCTGAAGGCACAAGTGAGCAGATCTCTGGGCCCGCTAGATATTTGCGCATCGGCGTAGGAAGGGGACGTGCCGTTCCAGAGCCTGTCTGTCAGGGTTCCGTTCGCGAGGCCGGGGCGCGCGTTCGCAGTGGTTGAAGGGTTGATGCAGGTCTGTCTTCTATGCTGTGGGTCGCGCGTGGCAGGCGCAGCGGACCTCATCTATCTAACGCTCAAACTGCGTTCGGTCCCGCCACGGGCAGCGCGCGTAGCCGCGGGGGTGATCGCAGCCACCTCCATAGTTTTCTATGCTTGTACTGCGGCTTGCCCGTTTACAGCTGGGTCGCACGCGTAGCAATTGAAGTTCCAATTGCCCTCGACCCCCCCTCCCTTTTCTCGTTCTCCCCATGCCGTTTCGAAGCACATAAAAGTGATGATATGTTCAGTCTGTGGTGTACCACTGCGGCTCGTGGTCATGGCGGCCATGTGCACAGTGCTGTTGCTGATCAGGTACACCGTCCTTCTAGGTGGCAGACTTCTGATTGCAACTGCCATCGTCGTTGCAATATCCATTGCGCGCGCGCTCAAGAGGGGCGCCCAGCGGTGAGGGCGGCGCGTTTCGCAAGCCCCCTCCTAGGGCCCCAAGGCCCAGGGGGCGCTCGTTCATATCTCTGGCCGAAGGCGGCCGCGCGGGGGAGAGACTAATTTAATAATCGTAGCAGTTCATACCCGCATTTATTCGCGGAGAGTTGTCCCCGCCAGCTTGGCCCGACATAGCCAGAACACGCGCGCGCTTGATTACATTGTCGTCGAACCTTGCGTGCCGGAGAATCGTAACCTTAGCATCAGCAGGAGCGAGGACATCTTGGCAGTGCGTTTGTCTGTCCAGGGGGGCAGGATTTGTCCGCCCCAGCCGGCGCCCGACGGCAAAACCGGCCCACCCTGAATCGCCCAGTCACAGCTGCAGCAGCAGAGAAGGAACGACAGAGTAGTCACACAAATCACAGTCGTAACACACGCGCGCGCAAATGCCGCGACATGCCGCTGCAGCCACGACATCCAACTGCAACGGGCACTTCTGGCCCGCACGCTGCGCGGCCACCTCCTCTCCACCGCCGGCGCCGCCGCTATCGCCCCTCGGGGCCCCCCCGAGCGGCGCGCG